AGCTATGGCTGCTCTTGAAGTCAACCAGCGAAGACTGGTGACCATGTTCAACTTGCACCATTCCCTTCTGCCGCTAGCTCGGCCCCTGCGGGGAGTTGTAAAACCTATTGGGTTATTTACTGCCATATCACCCAATCTGACATGCAATGATATCGAACTGAGGACACCTAATTTATGTGTATGCAATGGTTGGGACAGCCCCACCACCAACGACTCCTCAAAAATTTCCTTTGCGGAGTTCGCCGTCGGTGAACTTAATGAGATGTTACAAGCCGAATTCACTGAACCTATTAATGGAAAGTTACAAAAGCATCCCATGATACGCTCCTGTGAGAGATTACGCCCTGTGAGGTTTCAAAACGTGCGGGAACGCAACTCAAAATCAGACGGGGAACTGATCACGAGTTTTGACATTTACTTCCGTTCTGGTGACGTTGTCAAACAGAAAGAGGACATTTTCCATGTAGAAGTGAAGTCTAAAGAAATGGCCAATCAGTACTCACTGCAAATGGAACTTGTTAACTATGATCGATTGACCCTCTTTGGAAAGTACCAAGCATGCGCAGATCAAGGGGCTCATTTGAAACTTTGCATTTGTTCCCGAAGAACAAAGAAAAGGTTGACAGAACTAGAGAGTGTTCCTTGGTTAGAATACTCTACAATTCTATCAAATTCCCCAAAAGCCAGAAAAGTTGGTGACGATCAATGTTTGTTCTTGTTAAAGAGAAACCATAGCTTGGGGCAAAGTGTGGCTTTTGAAATTGCCAACATTTGTAATGAAAAAATATTTTATTTGAGGATATCGGCGAACTTTGAAAATATGAAGCTTTCCAGAAAAGTTCCATTTGAAGTAAAAGTTCAGCCTGGAAGCATTAAATTCTTGTTATCTGCCCGGATAGCGGTTGATTTCTGGAGCACATTTATTGAAGTTGACGTGGATATAAATGAAAAAGGAGTAAGTTATCCACCATCATAAATGCTGGTTTTAAAATTGTGTGAAACGTTAAGGGATGGTTTTAAAATTAATGAAACGTTAAGGGATGTTCAAAACCTTACACATAAATTGATTTTGTTCAGAGGGGATCTCACAACACATTCAGTTGACGGGAGCAGGGTTGGCGTGTGGGTAGCAGGGTTGGCGTTGTGGTGAGAGCGCTCGCCTTCCATCAATGTGTCCCGGGTTCGATTCCCGGACCCGGCGTCATAAGTGGATTGAGTTTGTTGGTTCTCTACTCTGCTCCAAGAGGTTTTTCTCCAGATACTCCGGTTTTCCCCTCTCCTCAAAAACCATCATTTGAATTTATTTAATTTAGAAGTTTATTTGATTTACACACGACCCCACAAGCTGTTCAGCTTTGAAACATATTGTGTTTAAATAAAGGTATTATTACCATTATTATTAAGTCTGTTGACTTTGAAGCATTCGTACTACTCCCTTCTAAGATATTATAGATGGTGTTATAAGTAATTGGTCTTGTTTTAGGAATCACTATCAAAAAATAAAGAAATTATATGTATAAATCACTGACGTATTAAATGCAGGGTGACTGGTTCCTTTCAGAAGAAACAATGGTCTGTATTTAGGGGTGGGTTGGAAAACCTCACATTAATAGAAATGTGAAATTAGACTGACCAAGATGATCTATCTGTTTCGTGATAAAATCTTGACGTTGCACCAAAGGTAAACATTCATTGTTCAGAGCTCGTAATGAAATTAACAAGTTTGAACTTTCGGAGTTTATTTTGGCATAGCCTCTTCATTTTAGAAAGAAAACAAAGCTCTGTGTTTTCTAAACTCACTTCGGTACGCATTTTCCCTCTTCGAAAATTGCTTCTTGAGCTAGGAAATTAATGAAACACTACCAAGCGAAAAAAGGTCATCAGGGGGAGAGGGGTAAAATCCAACGGGGAAGGGGAAGGGACTTGTATTGTTCACTCGAGTTAGTCGAGTCATGTGACGAATCAGTACCCGGTTGCCAAGAAGTTGCAATAATTTGGACAAATAGACGGCGATCGTATGTCTATAATGCAGCCAATATCAACATGGCAAGTTATCGCTGGAGTTTATTAAACAACACAATTCCACAAGAGAGGAGCTGAGATAAAAAAAATTACTAGTATTATATTACAGTGATTAACTGTCCTCGCGTACATCCCAATAACCGTGTGATACGAATTGAGAGCTTTATCAGATGACTGCCGGCCCAAGATCCTATTAAAGGCACAAAACAATGGACCAATCATAAGCCAGCTTATTCAGTCATAAGTGATTCGTGATTGACTTGCTTCATATCCTATTGCTTGCACATGTTTACTTAACTGGTAAATGACTTGAGCCTGATTGATAAGAAGATATTTCATTGGGCAGTCATTGAAAACTACTCAAATGCAATGAAAGCTGTAAAGGTAACTGTACCTAATGGCGGAGAAACGTGGGTAACACTGAACACTTAATTAGAGGAGTCTGAATCAGACTCTTTCACTTTTTCTTTCTCTTTCTTCTTTTTCTTCTTCTTCTTCTTTTCTTTCTTTTCCTAGAAAAGATAGAATCATTAGCTCGAGGTGTTTCCTGCCAAAGTGAAAAAAAAAACCCTACTACAATTACTTACTTCATCACTGCTCTCTTTCTCTTTTGATTTCTTTTTGTCTTTTTTAGATTTCTTTTTCTCCTTTCCTAGAGTCTCCTTTTCTTCATCACTTCCCTCTGTGTCTCTTTTCCTCTGTTTAAAGGAAAAGTTTAGTAAGTTACCAAACAAGAAACTAAATGTGGAGGAGATACTGTATCAAAATTAAACACACTTGTCTGATGATACAACAGACGTTGATGTAATCAAGTAACAATGTGCTAATGGAGTTGTGGCCAATTTCTTGACCAGATGGGTTTGTAACCTTTGTTTATTTACACAGATAATGAAACACATCGTCCATTAGCCTGCAAATAAATCATCATTACAACACACCTTTCTCCCTTCCTCAACTTCCTTGGGTGTCACAGGAGCACCAGGCACGAGTTCTTCCTTGGGTGTCACAAGTAAACTGGCAGATTGTTCATCCTTCAGTGGAGTTTTGTCAACACTAAAAAATAAACCACTGATTAGAAAGAGGTCCAGGATGGAAGCCTGTGTTTTATCCCCCTTCATGTAACACAAACCTGATATCTGGGTGACTTTGCATCCATTCTTTGGGTGTGCTTTCATTTGGTTTGCCATATTTGTCCAATTTACCAGATGCAATTAACTGTTTCTTCTGGAGTGCCTGGGTGATAAAACAACATTATGAGACAACAAAGAGACAATCAAGAAAATCAAGTAAAATATTGAATCGTTGCAACTCTAAGTGTCGAGGTCTCATTTCTTAACCAGTCATAAGGCTCCTGAGAGAATAGAACATTGATATAATCAATAGCAGGTTTATATCTACATGACTACATATACTTGATTGAATCTCACGCCGCCCGGTTAGCCCAATGGATAGAGCGCTGGACTGTTGTGCGGGAGGTCGAGGATTCAAACCCCGGCCGGACCAACACTCAGGGTCTTAAAATAATTGAGAAGAATATGCTGCCTTTCTATAACATCAAGAAATGGTTAGATATTCTAGTCTTCACGGATAGAGATGAATAAATGGAGTTCCTGTCTCCTGCAGGGTTGGGGTAGGAGACGTTAATTTCCCACGCACGAGATTACTGTGTGATGGATGTCCTCCCCTGGGGTGGGATGGGTGGTTAACAGGACCCCCGTTGATACCAGTGTTTACCACACTTAAGGGGCTCTCCTGTATAAATATAGATGTCTACTACTACACATGTTTGTTGTTATGTGGCTGTATATGTTACTTGCAAAAATTGAACTCCTGTGAGGCAAAAAGTAAGTGTAACACTATTGAGTTCGGTTTTACTTTGCAATTCATATCAGCAGAAGCCTGGTGTCTAAATAAGTTTGTCATACCTTTGGTCCCAGGCCCCATTTTCTGGGGTAAGTGTCTCTTTCCATGATAACTCTTTTGATCTTAGCAACCACACCATGATCGCAAGCCGCCATCACAGCAGTCGTCATAAGAGCAATTCCTGGAAAACAAAATAATAATTAAAAAGAAAAAATTAAAACTCAACCTTCACGTTTCCTTGTTCTTTGCAACTGGTAGCATTAAAACTAAGAATGATGGCATTAAAATCTGTGAAATGATAATTCTTTCAGACTTTTGAAGTATATTTATCATTACACTAACTTGAACAAATACTACATGTATGTAACAGCAGATCCAGCTGATTGCATTTTTGATTGGTCGACTACTTATAACTAGCTGACTGACTGATTTATGAATAAAGGCTGAAAGTTTCTAAAGAAACTGTGGTGCTGCATCGGTGGGGGTAACAAGGTAATTTGGTTACATCAACAAAGTTGAAATTGTAAATTGGCCACCGTAACGAATAAAAAAGCTGACGTTTCGAGCGTTAGCCCTTTGTCAGAGCGTTAGCCCTTCACTCTGACGAAGGGCTAACGCTCGAAACGTCAGCTTTTTATTTGTTGCAGTGGTCAATTTACAATTTCAACTTAGTTGATATAACCAAATGACTGATTTATGGACTGACTGACTTGCTGACAGACAGAACAACTGATTTATTGACAGACTGACTGACTGACTGGCTGACACACTGGCAGACAAACTGACTGAATGACTGCCTGTCTGACTGACTCAATCACTGGTTGACACTGATCAACCATACGTATGATGCATGATCCTCGCAGTAGATAGCGCTATTTAAGCAATAGCGAAAATCAGACCTGACAAAAATCAGGCCTGTACGGGATTCGAACCACTGACCTCTGCGATACTAGTGCAGCGCTCTACCAATTGAGCTAACAAGCCAACTGGGAGCAGGCCGTTAAGTTGATTAACGGCCTGCTCCCAGTTGGCTTGTTAGCTCAATTGGTAGAGCGCTGCACTAGTATCGCAGAGGTCAGTGGTTCGAGTCCCGTACAGGCCTGATTTGTTTCGGGTCTGATTTTCGCTATTGCTTAAATAGCGCTATCTACTGCGAGGATCATGCATCATACGTATCTAATACCGCAGTTCAAAATATATGCTCTTCATATATTCATTGTATCTCACTGATCAACCACTCGACCAACTTTCCTGTTTTCATTAACAAAAGAACACTCACCAAGAGCTATAGCTTCTCCTTTTGTTGTCATGATAACAATTTCTTCATTCATTTCTATTCCAGACTCATATCTCAGTAGACCTGGGATCATCAGTTTTGCTCCATAACATATTGCATTCACCTACATGTAGCAGAAAAAGAAAAATACTGAATGAAAGCATTTACGAGACAACCCTATTAGCAAGCTTTTCACACAAAAATTCTACTTCTATCTTGCTTAATCAAAGATACTAAATAATCAAGTACAGCTGTAGCTCCATCAAATAATAACATACTAATTACTACATTCCATATGGCAAACTTTCCACTTACGGTTTGGCCTTGGCAATACACTAGGAATTGAGCTATATGATACTTACAATTATTACACGACTCGGGCAGTCAGAGGGCCAATAACTAAAATCAACCAATCAAAATGCTCTATGGCCGGTCCAATATTCTCTAAGTATTGGACCGGGCACTGTCCTGAATGGTCCCGAATGATACCGCACTTGTGTCCCTTTGAACTTCAGTCGTGTAATAAATCTCTTATTAACCAAGCTTGCTCGGGACCGTACTGGAAGAATATCAGCCCTCGGTCTTTTACGTACGGACCGAGCGCAGCTCGGTCCGTACTGTCAAGACCTCAGGCCAATATTCTCCCAGTACGGCCCTCACACTTGGTTAATAAGATATATGTATTGTAAGTCTTGTGCCAGAACACACATTTTGTTCTCACTGCTAAACAGGACCAAAGTTCCCCAATTAATCAAATCTTATAATGCAAAATAGTACTTACAGCGCTATCTTTAACAACCAGACGCTTGTGAGAAGTTAACAGAGCTTCCAATGGCTTGATGCAGCGGCGGAGATAAGATTCTATGAAATAATATATTTTGCAGTTAACACATGATTCTGTCTCATGTTCACAAACAACTTTTCTTGCATATCTTGCAGCCAATCAGCAGCAGTAACTTACCATCTTTGTAATTATCATACATCCATTGGGCATCAAGAACATCATGCATGGTGGCCATGTTATCCTGAAAAACACAAACCTTACTCTCACTACTATCTTCTTTATTCAAAGAAATAAAATGACAGCTGTAATGTTAACCTCAAAATTCCAGATGTATTGGAAAAGCATTAAAAAATAAAAATAGAAAAGATATAGATTCAACATGTGCCTTTTGAATGTTGAGACATAAGTTATTTGACTTACATTTTCAGACTGAATTCCTGAACGCACCCTTCTGAGTTCCTGCATATGAGCACCAATCCCCATTAACAATCCAATATGGACACAAAGTGTTCTTATGTAAGTACCAGCCTCACAGCTCACCCAAAACACCCCTGCAAAGTTAAAACAATGACTTACCAGTAAATTTTAAGTCTTCATCTGCCCATGTACATCTCCTAGACATACTTGTTTAAAGGGAAATAGCACTAATCAATCTTTTTTTTTTATTTTCAAAAAGTACCTACCAAGATGCCGTTCCTGATCATACTCAATTAATTTGCTTTCATATATTGTTCTTATTCTAAGCTGTCGTTTAACTGCAGATATCAGTGGGGGTCTCTGAAACAAGGCTCCTGTAAGCATCTCTATTGTCTGCAAATACAGAAAAGATGATTGCATTATTTCCTAATAAAGTATTTTGATTTTCATATACAGTGTAATAACACGCCATTTTTCCACACGAGATGATACATGTTCAATGCACATAAAAATGGTTTGATGGAATTTTTACTGCTAGAGTCTCATGTATTTTAGAGCATAGAAGATTAATGAAATTGAAATGTCTAACATAAAAAAAAAATTGCAAAGACTGTAGGATGAAATTTTGATTCAATATACCAACCTTGGCTAATTCTGATTCATTTTCAATTGCTTCATGGAGCCTCACAATGCAGACATACTCTTTTCCTTTGGGGGCAAGGCAGGAACAGAATGTTAGTAAACATAAAATTAACTGTGGCCACACTTCAAATAGTTCTCTGATTTTTGCACTGTGATGCTCTCCCATTAAAAACATGGAATTCAAGCAGCACAAAGCAGAACAAACAAACACATTTACTGATACCTGCTCCCTGTTGGGATTTGACAAGTCTTGTTGCTCTTTCAATGCACACTATTAGACATCCTGTCACTTTTGGATCAAGAGTACCACTATGCCCAGTTTTTTCCACTCGAAGAATTCTTCGTATCCATGCCACCACCTGCTCAGAAAAAGACAAGTTCTGATCTGGACTGTTCATGACAATGGAGAGCCAGTAGCGGTTCAAAACTCCCAAGCTCGTGGCAGACAGAGACATGCAGTTGTCAGTGAAACTCATCACTTTCAATAAATTTTTGGTTGGCTAACATGCTAAGCCATTCCTCTAGTTCTTTAGTGAATTTAATTTAATTTACTACATTTTCACTGCATTATTTGCAGTGGGGAAGGACTAGAAAGGAACATATGAACCATTCATGCTAGTCCATCCTCCCACCCCAGGGGAGGACATCCATCACACAGTNTCTACTATCTTCATCACAGTCACTCTCATTATTACGGGGATATTTACAAGATTCCTACAAAATATATAAAACAATCAAGTTTTACTCATTTGTGTTTTGATCACCTATGTCTTCAAAGTTGTTTTCCAAATGAAAGGTTTACTATTCACTTAAAAAAGACTTGCAATGGATAATTTTTCAAATACATCATTAAAATGATGTAGCTATACTAATATATTTAGTATATAAGTGAAGCTATACTAATATATTTAGTATAGCTTCACTTATTATTATCTTAGAGTTGGCGTGATGTCCTAAACGATTTTGCCGACATAACGATATTTAGAAGCAAACTAACTTAAATTTATTTATCGGTAGTTTTAAATAGTTTTTAATAATTTTCAATAGTTTTTAATAGTGTTATATATTTAGTATAGCTTCACTTATTATTATCTTAGAGTTGGCGTGATGTCCTAAATGATTTTGCCGACATAACGATATTTAGATTTAGATTTAGATTTGAGCTAACTGGGAGGCGTGAGCTAACCGGGAGGCGTGAAAAATCTATGAATCAACTTTGTTATTCAAAACTCCCTAAATTTCTGTATAATGGAAAATATTTGACTAGTAGTGACTCATCCAGTCCATACTTACCAGAACTAAAGGTCTAATAAGGAAAACTAGCATTACATAACATCTGAGTTGCATAGAGTAAGGAGGTAAGAGAGGGAGGGAGAGGCAGAAATCAAATTATTCTATGAATCAAATGTAAAATGTACCTCATGAGATGAGGGATTTGCTGGCTTGTCAAGATTTATAAACCCACTCCTGTGATAACAGAAGTAGATATCAATAATTAACTGTATGACAGTGTAATATAGTCCTAAAGTAATATGCCGACATAACATAATTCAAAAAGGGAAGCTCAAGAGTGTGAACAGAGTAAAGTGTAGTTTAAAAAAAAAAACTTAACCAAAACTGATCAACTTTAACACTCCCAGTGTATATACCCATATAGTGCTTGGTTGAAATGTACACATAGCATCAAAAGTGTATAAGCTGCTCAGAAATCGAGGTAACTTTACTTACGACACATAGTCCTTTAGTTCTCTCTTAAGAGGAGAACATCCATTTGGTAATGGAGTAAAATGGCCAGTTCTCACATTCAACTTATCATAGTTCTGTGTTGTAAAAATAGAACACAAGAAGAAGGTAAGTTATTATGTACAGATACACAGAGATTACAACTAGAAAGAGAACTAACATATACCTTGAGCAATAAAGGCCATTTTGATGTGTCCAACACACCAGCAGCAGATGTTGGCTTTAAATGAAAATCCTCTTCATGTTGAGTTTCCTGGGTGAGTGAATATAAAACATTAACTCATCAAATTAGAATATTGTAAATCCTCTAATAAGCACTCCCCCCCAGGCTTATTTAATTCAGGTACTTAGAGAGGGAGTGGCTTATTAGACGGGGGGGGGGGGCTTATTTATTTAGAACTCAATAAGGAACTCAATTTTGTAATCTAACTCTCTCCAAAGACCTTGTTTAGCCATGTTATATTTATTGCATCACTCCTTAATTTCCGTATACTGTTTTCTACTGATGCCAACATATGAATATATGAAGATGAATATAGTTTATATCTGACCACTTGCAGCCCAGAGGCTGAATTACGGGTACAGTGCGAGGTTGAGAACAGACATCAGCATATCAGGCGCCTCTGGCAACCGCTTCAGTCTATCGATCTCACCTTCCCAACCATCCTACCCCAGGGGAGGACATCCATCACACAGTAATCTTGTGTGTGGGAAATTAATGTCTCCTACCCCAACCCTGCAGGAGACGGGACCTCCATTTATTCGTCCCTATCCGAGAAGACTAGAATATCCACAGGCGGCCGGCCCAAGCTCTCTTTGAGAACCACACAAGGAACACAATTTGCATATCTATTTATAAGGATTTGTATGGGATTTTCTACAAGTAT